AAAAATAAAAATTAATACGTACAATTGGCGGCGGCGATGGAGATTCCGATTGAAACACCGACGGTGATCTTCTCGGCCTTGTGTCAGCAAGTAAGGAAGCAACGCTAAAACTAATATTATTCCTAGATTGTTGCGGTTGTTGCGGTTGTTGCGATTGTTGTTGTCCACTACCCGTTCCTTGTAAGGACGCACTATTAGTACTACTACTACTATTATTAACACTATTATTACTACTACCGTTGTTATTATTATTTAAACCGCGATTAGTCCTCAAATCATCGGGTAAAATTTTTTTATTATTAGTATCGATTTTTGTCCTATTGACGAAATCGTTTGCCGTTTTCAAATACGATATCGATTCGCTAAGTCTTAAAGCATCGTTATTGACATCACTTCGATTCGATTTTTTTATTAGATCCAAATCGAAACGATTTGAATTTATCGATTTATCGTTTACCCTTAACATCAAACCGCTTTCCGATCTCGTCACGTAATCGTTACGTAAAAAATTTAACGTTTCCGTCGTTTTACCATTATTATTCGTGCTACCGCTACGATTTTGATTATTATTAATATTACTATTATTATTATTATTATTAATATTATTATTGTTTTTTATATTTAATCCATCGTCTAATTCGTCCATTTCTGTATTTATAAATAAATCTTTTTTCGTGACGTTGTTTTTCATTTGTTGTTGAGATGGATTCCGTTTTAAGATAGTCATAATTTTCGCCGGATTGTTCTGTTCTAGCATTAGTAGATTCGTCAGGTATTCTTTCTTCTTCTTCTTCTTCTTTTCCTCTTTCTTTCAAACTCAAACCGATTATTTAATTATTATTATTATTATTATTATTACTTCGATATTTAAACTTTTTCCTCTATTACGATATGAAAATTTAACTCCATTTTTTTTCTTTATTTTTTTTTTTTTTTTTACACGAACATTACTTATTTATTATTATTATTATTATTTTGTTTATCACACATCAAAATGTTTTTATTATTATTATTATTAATATTATTAATATTATTTCTCACTAGCAAGCTGTTAACATGACACGGTTGAACCCGGTACTAAAGTTAAAAACTTACTCCACCAATTTAATTTTATTACAACAAAAAACTTGCCATTTTTCCAATTTACACTCGAAATGTAAAAAGATTTTTTTTCTTTAACAAATTCATACGTGAAATAATGTTAACGTACGTTGAAATTAATTTACGAGATTTTCAAATCGTATGAAAAACTAATAAAACGTTTTTAAACCCCTCGTGTATAAGTTCATCTTATGTTTTTTTTTTTTTTTTTTCGTATAATAACAATGTTTTTTCTTTTGTATAAGAGGTTTTATAATAAGTTTAATTTAAAAACCGTATATGTGACACATTCATCATTTGATTATGTAAAAACTTTAACTTGTTTAACGAGTTTAAAGTGAGATAATGATGATAAAACTCATATAAATTTCTATTGATCGATTGGAAATCGTTATTTTAAAAGAATTTTTTTTGCCTAACGAATCAATAAAAAAAATTCAATTTTTTCTCATTAAATATATGATGAGTAGGCGTTTACGACGACGACGCCACCGCCACCGCCACCGAAAAAAAATATTTCATTGATATATATTCGGTTTTGTTATTAACGTAATAAAAGCGTTAACAATGGGCGGAACTTGAAAATTGAAGTGGGCGGAGTTAAACGAATTACAAATCTCCCCCCTCCCATCAATTCGAAATTGATTTCAAAAGCACATAGTGAATGGTTAATTTAAATACATGTTTCACTTACGAAAGTTAAAATTTTCAATATGGTTTTTAAACTTATTATTATACAATTACATAGTATAGGAGGGAGAGGGGGAAGGGGGTCTCCCTTTCTTTTCTGACGACGACGACGACGACAACGACAACAACAACAATAACGAGGAGAAAAAAAAAAAAAAAGGGAAAAAAATTATGTTGAGCTCACGTTTAGCAAATGATATTTTGATTTAATTAAAATTTAATGAACGAGACTATGGAAACATTTTAAACCAATCCCGAACCAGGAAATTAGATTGTTGACAGATGACAAGAGTTTAATGCGGTGATTTTCTTTTGTTTCCCGATAGATTTATTCTTAGTTGGAAAAACCTTTTTTTCCCTTTATTTATTTTCCTTCTTTTTCCCTTTCGCTTTTATCATCATCATCGTCGTCGTCGTCGTTATTATTATTATTTTCTCTTTTTTTACGCAAGCACTCACGCACGCACTCACGCACGCACTCACGCACCACTTTTCTTTCTCTCTTTTGCAATTTTCCCAATTTTCAATTTTCCCCTGTTCGTCTTTATGTACACATATACGAAATATAACTGTTCGTTATTTAATTTTTAAGCAGACGACAAAGATATACACGTTCACGACGTCTCCCTAACAATAATAGTTTTGACAACCGCTACTAGTTAACGAATAAATGCTTCATTCAGTCAACGAACCACAAAAAAAAACATTTTTGTCTCTTTCTATCTCTATCTATCTGTCTATCTCTTTCTGAATAACAGCGTTCGGATTGACTTGTGACTGTCACGTCAAATATTTTTTGACATTTTGATTTCCCTTCTTAACATATATATTTATTATTTTTAATTATACGTTCGTAAAATATCAGGGGTGAAAATGAAAAAAAAAACTTACCCCCGAACGTTTAAAATTATAATAATTTATATATAAGAATGAAATGTTTAAATTTGAAAGAGAGAGATAAACAGAGAGAGAAAGAGAGAGAGAGAGACAAAAACGTTGAAGAAAAATTACATGATCGATCGTTATGGAATTGTTTTTATAATCATCATCATCATCATCATCATCGTGTGTTTGTACACTCGGAAATTAATTATTATGATAATAATAATAATATCAATAATAAAAAACGTTAAAATTTTCATTTTCTCGTTCGCGAACGTTCGCGCATGTCGACATTTTTGTTTGTTTTTTTTAAAAATCGATTTTCGTCCATAATTATTTTTAATAAAAATTAATTAATCAATTAATTAATTAATAATAATAATAAGTTAAGGTTTAAAACCTTTTTTTTCTACACGATAATTAATTATTATATATATGTAATAATAATAATAATAATAATAGAAAATGAAAAATCGATAAACGACCTTAACGCGTCCTTTGACCCAAATCTAATCGAGTCGGGTCATGTAAAAAAAAAAAAAAAAATCTCGAATCGTGGTTTTAGAATACGTTAGAATAATTACGTTAAAAAATTAATTACGGTACTGATTAATTATCATTATTATTTTTTAATTATAAAAAATTAATTAATTAATTAATGACGTAATAAATCGCGAAGGATTAAAAAAAAAAAAAAAAAAAAATTTTTTTTTTTCGGTGAAATTCGAATGCTCGGGAAATGCGGATGGGGAAAAAAGGTTGTCGGAAAATTCACGAGAAGAGAAAGAGATAGAAGAGAGGGGAGGGGAGGGAGAGAGAGAGGAGGGTAAAATTATATGGAATGAGATATATCACGCATAAAACCGCATAAATATTATGATGCAATTAAAATCCGTTATACGTTCCTGTTGTTGCCTCTCGTTTTTTTTTTTTAATAGATAATAATAATAATAATAAGTGTGAGTACGGAGGAAAGAGGGGGGGGGTAAAAAACCAAAACAATTGGTTTAAATTTAAATGGGTATGAGAGAGTGAGAGAGAGAAAACGGAAGTGATGTAAAAAGATTCGAACGTTGTGTTTTATTATAGGAAAACGCGTGGGGCGTTCGAGTACGTTCGGGGGGTAAAAACATTTCGATTAATAAAAATCAGGTGGTGGTGGCGGTGGTGATGGTGCAAAACGACAGAAATCATTATTTTATCTAAAAAATTTTCCGAAAAAAAAAAAAAAAAAACGTTAAAAGCGGATGAAATTTGAATTGTTTATTATTTCTCTGATAAAAACGTTGTTTTCTGGTGGTTTTTCCCCCCGCCCCCCGCGCGTGAAAAACTGGAAAAGAGAGAGAGGGAGAGGGGAGAGGGGAAGGGAAACAACGGTAGGAAAAACAAACAAAAAAACAACCCAAAAAAAAAAAAAAAAATAGCTTCCGTTTCACGATTTTTATCTGCATGTCCGACGACGAAAAGGGAGGCGATAAAAAAATTTTTTTTTTTCGATTTCATATTCGGCGCTTTACGTTTTCCCCCCCTCCCCCTCCCTCCTCCCCACCGAGTTGTTTTATTACCTTCCTGATAAAAAGTAATTTTTTATTTTATTACGTTAACAAACAAACAAACAAACAAACAAAATTATTATTATTATTATATAAAATCCTACGTTTGCAAACTTTTCGAAAAAATTTTTCTTTTCATATACATCCTACGCAGGTAGTTTTCATCAATTCGAAAATGAGAGTGAGAGAGAGAGAGAGGAAGTGAGTGAGAGAGAGAGATGGATTATTCGTTTTCTACGTCGAAGAAAACCGACAAAATTGATATGAATTCAAATTTTTTTTTATCTTTCAACAGATAAAATTATCATTATTAGTCTCACAAAGACTAATATTGACAAACGACTTCCACTTAACCCCCGGTAGTTTTAGTCAAGTTTTTGTCTTCTTGGTAAAAAGTTTTCTCTCTCTCTCTCTCTCTTGTTAAATTTGCTCAAAATTTTTAGTTTTTTTTTTTTTGTGTGCTTTTTTAAAAAAAAAAAAAAAATTTAACAAATTTTTTGTTTGTTTGTTTTTAATTTAGTATCCATTTTGGAAACATCAATCGAACGAGGTAAATCATCATCATTATTTTTATTACTATTTAATTTTTTTTTTTTTTTTTTAAATGTTGGCAATTCTTTAAATCTCCCCTATTTAATCGCGTTCGGTATTCGCAAGGTAAAAATAATACAAAAAATAATAATAATAATGATAAAAGAAAACGATTCGTTTGACCGACATTAATTATAAGAAAATCGATAATTAAACGTCGATATGACGTCATCGATATCGATAATCAAAAAAATCAATTTTTAAAAATAAAAACTTTGTCAATTCTTTCCGAAAAAATAAAATAAATATTTTTTGAATGACCTCTTTTTTCGCAGTAATAATAATAATGATGATGATAACAATTCCAAGAACGTACAAACATACAAATATTGCAAACGCTTATGATGACGACAAACAACAAACAACAAAAAAAAACATTTTTTGTCGTTTATCTTTTTTAACTCTTCAATAATAAAATCAATAAATTTTTATCTTTTTTTTTTTTCCTTACCTGGCAGAATCATTTTGAATCATCATCATCATCATATCTACTCCGTTCGATTTTTTTTTGGATAAAACAAACGACGACGACAACGGAACAGGAAAGACGACTGAAAGTGAAGAAAAATTATTATTATTATTATTAGTTTTTTTATCATCAAAGTAATAATGGGTAACAATTATGGATTATTATTATTATTAACACTAACAGGTTTAACGTTATTGACAGGTATGTTCGTAATGATTTTCTTTTTCTATCTCTATCTCTATCTCTTTTTCTCTAATATAATAATGATGATGATGATTATTTTAGTTTGTAACGGATCTCGTACGCCTAAAGATGATGAATTTCCATTTCAAGTATTTACAAAAGTCATTAAAATTCCACCATTTTACACTTGTGGTGGTATTATATTGACGTCCAAATGGATATTAAGCGCAAGACATTGTACAAACGAGTGAGTAAATTAAAACAAACGACTATTATTATCATTATTATTATTATTATTATCGTTCAAAGAAAAAAACGTTTCGAAAACGAGGGAAAATTTTTTTTTTAATAGTTTGACGCCTTTGGTAATAAGTTATGGAAGTGCGGATTCTGGAAGGCCGGTCGGTGAAATACAAAGTAAAAGATTCGTTTATAGTAATTTCGATAAGGGGGATGATGTTGATAAGGGTGGTTTGGTTTTGATAGAATTAGAAGAAGATATTGTTTTTTCTAAAAATGCGAGTCAAGTTAAATTACCGTTGAAAAATTCAAAACTCATGGCGGACTCTGGAAAATTGAGCGGATGGAAAATACACGTGAGTTTTTTTTTGCGACGGTGGCGGTGTCAGCGGCGGGATTTCGAAACTTAAAAAAAAATTTTATTTAATTAGGGTCTTCAATCTGGAAATCATCCGACTTTGGCCGTTATTGAAAAATTTAAAATACTTTATAAAGATTGTAAATATCCGACTGGAGATTCCATGACTCTCGGACAAGATGAATTTTGCGGTTTCGACGAAGATTATCCAGATTTTTACGACATGGTAAAATAATTTCCAAATTTTTTTTTTCGTTATCATTTTTTCCAGAAAAAAAAATTTTTCTCACCTTTTTATTATTTTTCTCCAGACGGCCATGGGTACGGCGGTTACAAAAGATGGAATTTTAATCGGTTTGCTAACGAAAATTCCAAACAGTCCGACTTTTCCGCTGTTGTTCACTAAAATATCAGAATACGAAAATTGGTTTAAAAACGTTTTGGGTGACGAATCGAATAAATTGCTTTGGGTCAGTGAAATTCCAAATAGTTCTGGAAATTCAATGGCGTCATCAAAATATTTTTCTGTCGCCATTTTTTTCACCTTCTTAATTTTATTTAAATCTATTTAATAACAACCTCTCAATCAATCGATCGATCGATCGATCGAACCTCATTTTAAAAATTCATCATCGATTTTTATCCGTATTAATTAATTAATTAATTATCGATCGATTTATCGATTTTTTTTTAAAACAAAAATCCAAACTCAATTTTTCAATAAAATTATTATTATTATTATTATTATTAGCACTTCATCTCATCAATAATAATAATAATAATAATGATTTTTTTTTTTTAATGAATTCATTGTGTCGTTTTTTTATCATGTCCTAAGTATTATTATTACTACTACTATTATTACTATTATTATTATTACTATTATTATTATTATTTGTATCAATCAATAGAATAATTTTTCTTTTTTTTAAATTAATAAAAACCTCGAAATTTTTTTTTCAACCTTTTATATC